GGTCTATAGAAATCAAAAGAAGCATTGCAGTCCTCCCAAAATAACTCAAACTTAAGTTCTTGCTGGCAGAGATCACAGTGTTTTCAAAGGTTATGGGGATTTCTTCTAGTTAAAAAAAAAAAAAGGAGGTAACCTTCATCCCAGGCCATGGGGTCACGTCTACAGAAGCCCAGGCTGAGGAATGTGCCTGACATGTACAGGGACTACAGAAAGGATGCAACCAGAATGATAGGTTAACTGGCTCCAGTACAAAAGGCTAGAAATACCATACTTACTAATAAGCTTTTATTTCTGGATCAATATAAGCAATGGATGTTTTCTATAAAAATATTTTCATTTCTAGAGTCTCATCAGTGGCCTTAGATCAGGGGACGCTGTCGTTGGAAAGAAAAAAGAAAATAGGGGAGTTCCAGCAACTAAGAAAACGGGCTGATGCTGTACTTCCAAGCATGACCACATGAGGGCGGTCTCAACTCACCACAATCCGTGGCTCTTCGTTTCGGTTCCAAAAGTGCTTCAGGAGTTTTCCAAATAGTTGCACTCGCAGGTGCTGCTCTCTGTTTGGGAAAAAGCGGTTTTCAGAAATAAATGGTATGTAATGGGTTTTCACTAAATAATCTTGGGGATTCCCAAAGTCAGATTTTAATCTGTTCGCTGTCAAATTATACAGATGTACATTCCACGGACCTGGCAATGCAGTCATGGCTGATCTTGTAAGCTTATCTGTTTTATAAAAAACATGTAGCTTGATCCCATAGCCTTCACTTTAAGTCTCAAGGAGGGGCATGACAGCAGTACAATTGGGAGCCAAAAGTAGGTGGGGAGAGAGCTTCAGGGTGGTCATCATCCGGGCTCTCCTGAAACCTGTCTTCACCTCAGAATGGATGAATAACTTATTTCAAGGCCCTCCCTCTCTGCCCTTGGTTTCCCCATAGCACCCTCCTCAGATTAAATGCTTCCTAAAAAATGTTTTTTAAATGTATCTCCCTGGTGGTCAATCGGTTAGGATGCGGCACTGCAAAGCTAGCCGCATCCCTGCATCCACCTCAGCATGAGTTCGATCCCCACCCCCAGGTGACCCACATGGCACAGCAGACCTCTCCTGTCTCGCCGGCTGCTCACTTCATCTGTCTGCCTGTTCTGTTCCCCACTTTGTCTGGTGAGTCCTCCTGCCGCCCCTGTACCTTTGGTCTATACCCCAGTTCTCTATGCATAAATAAATCTTTTTTTAAAAATGTGTCAAGTGTTGCCAGTTTTTGCAGTTACTATATGTCTTAGGTGATGTCATAAATTCAAGACTGTATTTTTCATTTGCATTTCCTTTATGATGGGTGATCCAGAATTATAAAGACATCTCTGCTAGTCACTTCCATGTATTTCCATATATTTTCTTCGAGGAAGATCTACACAAATCTTTAACACATATTTTAATAAAGTTATTTTCTTGTTATTTTGAGTTGTAGGTGTTCCTTACACATGTTATATAGTCACCCCCTTATCAGGCAATATAGTTTGCAATCATTTGATGCCTTTCCATACAGGTGGCCTTTCACTCTGTTGGTTGTCTTTAATGGGTAGTCTTTACTGGGTAGCGACTAGTATTTAGATGAAGCTGCTTTTCTTTTTTGTGTTGTACTTTTTGGTGCTATATCCAAGAAATCATTGCCATGGCCAGTGTTACAAAGCTTTTCCCCAATGTTACTTTCCAAGAATATTATAGTTTCAGTTCTTATGTTTAAATCTATTTTGAATTTTGTATGTATATTGTGTAGGATAAGTTCCAGTTGCATTCTTTTGCATGTGATATCAGCTTTCCTGTACTGTTTTTTTGAAAGGACTGTCCTTTCCTGCTGCTATTGTTGATGCCACTTGATTTTATTTATGTGGATTTATTCTGTGGCCTCTGTATTCTGTTTCATTGTTCTGTATTTATACCTGCTATCATACTACAGGTTTAAAATATATTTTTACATCAGGAAATGTGAAGTTTCCAATTTTGTTCTTCTTTCTTAAATTTGTTTTGGGTCCACTGTTGTTTCCAGATTAATTTTAAGATTATGTTTATAATCTTAAGATTATATATTTAAGATTATATTTTCTATTTCTATAAAAAAAAGTCATTGTAATTTTGATAAGGATTGCATTGAATCATGTTGATTAGTATGGACATTTGAACAATACTAAGTCTTCCAGTTCATAAATATGGGGTGTTTTTCCAGTCACTGGTGTATTTAAGTGCTTTCAAAAATGCTTTTAATTTTCAGATTGTAAGTATTGTGTCTCCAGGGTTAAACTTATTCATAAGTAATTCTTATTGATGCTGAAGTAAAATGATCACTTTTAACAGATGACTATATATGTAGAAAACCTTAGCAGTTTCACACACAAATATAGACACATAACCACATGCAACACATACACACAGCTGTTAGAACTAATAATGAAATTCAGAAAAGTCACAGAATACAATATCAACATATAATTGTGGTCCAAAGAAGAAAACTGAAAGAAGTCTTGCTTTTTTACCTACTCTGACAGACTGTCTTTTAATTAGTGTGTTTGGATCATTGGCATTCATGTTCACCTATATAGACTAATAGCTACAATACTCGTTATTTTAGTCACTGCTCCTGATTTTTATTTATGTTTTGCCTTTAACTCAACTTCTTCCATCTCTGGCTTTAATTGAACATTTTATATAATTTCACTTTTTCTTTTGTCTTAATGTACCATTTACTTTTTTTTAACTTGAGTAGTTGCTGTAGAGTTTATAAAAGTCATTTCCAGCTGATCCAAAACAACTTTCAAATAACATTATCTTGCTTAATTGATAGCACAAGAACCTTATGAGTTTTCCTAATTCTTTGCTTTAGGGTTCTTATGATATCATAATACTCATATCTCTTATCTATAAGTTATAATCTCTGAATATTTTGTTATTTTTATTTGAACAGTTACCTATCAATTAAGGATAAGTAAAGATTTATTTCTTCTTTAATGTCCTTCATTTATTTGGATCTGAGTTTTGATCTATATCTTCTTGAAGAACGCCTTTTTTTTTTAAGACTTATTTATATATGTATATGAAATTGGGGTACATGCCAGATGTGCAAGGGGTGGTGAAGCAAAGAAAAATGAAAGCAAAAGAAGAAGGGGAATCAAATGAGCAAGAACTATGTGGCTGGAGTGAGTAAACTGGTCCTGTGTGTCAACTTGGGTAGAACTCAGACTCATACAATTCAGTTTTCTATAAAAAAAATGAGGTGTACAATTAAAAAAGATAAACTCATGCCATTTGCAGCAACATGAATGGAGTTGGAGGGGATTATGCTAAGCGAAATAAAACAGAAGGGAAAAGGAAAATATCAGATGGTCTCACTTATAGGTAGCATATAGGGAAACCAAACAAAGAGTCAGGAAAAGACAAAACTTGCAAGCAGACAGATATGGGTGCTCAGCAGGGGAGGTGCAGGGAGGGGCAGGGAAGGGCCAGACAGAGGAGGGGAGATCACAGGGGACTGTGGTGGTGGCTCATGGCTGTTGTGGTGGTGGGAACTGCACCGGTCCCGAGAAATCAATAACGATGGAAGAAAAGGAAATAATGCGACTTTAAAACGGAGCTGTAGAATTCTTGTGAAACTAATGTTTATATAAGTATTAGAAACAATCGTATCAATGAGGACTGTAGTAAAACAGGAAGAGATGGCCTGGAGGAGCCAACTTCAGCGCTGATGTTGTCTCCCTCTGGATTTGGGAGTGATTGAAAAGAACATCCTGTCTGCTTTTTTTTTTTTTTCTTATTTTACAATTTTGAACAGAATGTATCTGTGTTATGTTGAGCGCATGAGCGTGTGTGACATCACTCGGCTCTATGCCTCTTGTGTTAAGCCTTTCACAATAATGAGATGGCTCGGAGGGTGGATACTCAGGGGAGGCTGGAAACGTGGTTTCCTAGGAGGAATCTCAAGCAACAGTCCGTGGAGGACAAGGGTTAAGAGGGTTAAGAGATGGTCCTTCAATGTTAACTGAGCACCTAATAAGGACTAGGGTTGCTGCCAGGAGATTTTAGATTTGCGAAAATGCAACAAGACAAACTCCCCTCCGATGTGTGGCAGGTCGCTGAACTCATTTATGCACCATGTATGCAATACTTAACCTGTCCCTGATTTCTCGGTGGCAAGACGGGAATAAGCAGCGCATTCCTTGCATAACTTGTCGGAAGGAAGCATTCCCGGTGAGCCGGGAGGCGAGCGCTCGCCACCCTTTGATAATTGGCCTGAGTTATCCAGACTACTATTTACCAGGCACGGTTCCAACCAGCGGTGATTTCAAAACACGGAACTCAATTTTCTGTGGCGCTCTGGGAGACGATTTGGAGCCATGAACCCCAGAGCTCCAGGTCCCGGCGAAAGACAACCAACCGGATCTGGGCTCTCCCGGGATCCAGCCCCCGGCCTGGGGTAAAGAGGAGGGGCCGCAGGGTGGCTGGGGGCTGAGAGGACCCACTCGAAACCGGGAAAGGTTGACTGAGTTCGTCGGAAGGTCCGCGGGGCCAAAAACTGGGAACCGATCGGTCCCAGCGGGGCACAAATGGGAGTCGTGAGACAGCGGTGCGGGGCGAGCTGG